TATACACACAAACAAATGAGCCAAAAAGAGGCTAAGCCTCTCTGCAGCTTCTCATTAAGATTATTCCTCCAGCCGTGCACAATGCCTTGGTTGGAGAGTGACCTGCACAACCAGTTCTGAGCGAAGAGCGGGGGGGAACCATCAGGAGAGAGCTGATGTTTTTGTTGTTGTCTGCTGGCAAGGACATGATGAAAAGATGCGCACCCTGAAACATATTACTCATGGACACATCACCAGTGGGTGTGACTTCAAACTACTGCTGTGGACTAAATCGCACCCTTGGCACAAAGAGCAGGGGTGGTAAGAGTGAGCTTCCAGCTTGTGCAGAGGATTAAGTGATGAATACAGTAGGATGTGGCATCTTGTCAATTGTGAATGGAACCATATGTCAAAACCTCCAGGTTTTGTCAACCATGGATGTCAAGGAGGGAAAAAGGTAATCTACATTATTTTCACTGAGATTGTGAATGTGTCACACAGAGCAGAGGAAAGGTGTTTGCTTGTTATTGAGTTTGTGTGTGAGAGTGTGTGTGTGTGTGTTTTTGGGAAGGGGGTTAAATATATTGCCTCTTTTACAATAGAGTGCTAAATATTTTCATTTGTTTTTATTAACATTATATTTTGTATTGAGAATTGGAGAGAGCAGCATGATTGTTAACCTCTGCACCAGCAGAATCACTACTGTTCCAGTGGTAAAAGACTGTCCTTGTAGAAATTAGGATAGATTCAGTTTTAGGAGGAAAAAAATGTATGTTTGAGAAAACAGGTAATGACATTCATAATCACAATTAGTACATCCATGGTCCTCATTTTTGTAATGCTACGTTCATTTTTTAAAGTTGTAGTTTAGCTTTTCAGTGTGTAAACTGCTGTACACAGAGAAACTGACTGGCACATTGACCATTTTATATTATCCAGGTGATGATGACTTGTTAACTCTGCAAATTGCACTGATTTTCACTTGTTCTGTTGTAGCTTTTTGTTTAATTAGGCAGTACTGTATACTGCTATGACAGTAGGTCTCAATTACACACTGGAATTTGTTTAAAAAAAAGAGACCACATCCCAGTCAAAAGTATTTTAACTCTTTACCCTGTCTTAAGTTTTAGTGTGTTGCTTTTCAATGATTGGCAATTGTAGGGCAATGGCCTGTTAATTAGACCTAGAACTACTACACATACGTATATCTTGTCACTTTAGGAATACAGCTTGTGCTGCCATCTAGAGGTGGCAGTGCACTATAGCATTTGGTCACGTATGAGCACGTCAAAGGAAAAAAATCTGAAGTGTATCTTTGCCTGGAGAGTCTAAAGGAAAAATCCTTTTTTTGTTGTAACACTGCAGAAACATGTGGTCTTTGAAGCCAGGGGTCCAGGTGATTATATACAAGAGGTGTAAAGGTTTTAAAAAGCCTTAGCAGTACATGGCTTGTGTGAGAACACCTGATCTTGAGCATTCGTAAAGCGCAATGCTTTTCCTCTATACAAGATTATAGTATTACTTTTGAAGGGGAAATTGTTAACATTAAACAACTCTGCATATGTTAAATGCAGCCCCTTTCTTGGCTGAAGAGTGTGAGCTCAGGTACCAGTTCTCCACTCCTGGTCACAGTGAGCACCAAGCGGCTTCCTGGACGTATATCAGTATTTGCTATGCCTTCAAGAAATCAGTATAGCAGCTGGAAAATGTGTAATGTTGTTCATTTTTGTAACTAAGCAAGCAGATATGGGTTTGTTCAACTGTCAGCACTGTTAAAGTCGTGGGCAAACCTATCACGGTCAGAGTTTTCCCAGTTGATTGTTAATATGGTACATCTCTTTTTTTGTTAAATGCTTGGGCAACTGTTTCTACTCCTGCAGGTTGTTCTTACAAAAACATTGTTATTGTTATTTTTGCTGGCAGGAAAACTGGTATTTACAGACCATGATGCTTTGTCACAGACCCACTGATCTACAGTGCGTCCGAGAGTGAATGTAAA